TCAGTCAGGGAGTGGGGGAGACTGCAGGGGTGCCCCTGCTCCCCTGCAGCCCTGGGCCATCCTCTCCCTGGCCAGGCCCAGCCCAGCCCAGCCCTCCAGCCCTTTCTCCAGGCCCCCCCCCTTCCCCTTGGGGCAGGCAGATAAAAGGCAGGAGCTGTTATCTGGATTTCAGATTCGTAACAAACAGTGCTTTCGTGGTAGTGCGCACAGTTCTTTGTTGTGGATCTGAAATTCAAATCACATCTGGCAACCCTCCCTGTCCTTCTCACAGACACTGTGGTGGAGGGGATGCGGGGGAGGGTTCCGCTCTAAGGAGCCACCTGACTCCATGGAAAGGACTAAGTGCTTGGGTGGGGGGTCTGGAGGGGTGTGGGCCCTTGGCCTGGACCCCTGGATGTGCTGCCTGGAGTACTCTGGGTGGGGCTGAAGTGAACAAGCTTAAGGCCCCCGGGCCAGGCCAGTGGTGACCCTGCTGCCCTGGGCCTTACTGTCCCCACTGCACGGATGAGGGAACCCGGGCTGGGGGCGGGGTAGCACAATCCCCTCCCCGCCACCTCCAGCAAGGGCCTTACTGCACATACACCCAGAGCCGAGTGTCACAGGTACAGTAACAGATCATGGTCAAGGCAAAAATCAGTAATTTCCTGGCCCTGGGGGAAATACCGGTACCCGTCAATTTTCTGCGAAGACCTTCTCAGGAACCAAATGATCACAAGCTGGAGACTAGCCAAGCACCCCATCTGTGGCCTCCAAGGCCCCGAGGCAGCCCTGGCTGTGCCCTGTGAATTTGGGGGCCTGTGGATTGTGGGATCACAAAGTATATGTGGGCAGGGTCACGGTGACTCCCCATAGCCTGTGTGGCCCTGCATACACTGGACCAGGGGGCCTGGGGGGCCCCCCGTCCTAACCGGCTTTCTCGATACAGCCCTTTCAGAAGCAGCCGACCGTCCGAGCCCACGCGGCGGTGATGAGAGTATGAATGCCGTCGGCAACGTCCACCCGCCCCGAGGACCCCCTGCACGGACCCATTTACCTTCACCGTGCGCGTGCGTGGTGTCCTGGATTCGGGAAGCACATTCCCTGCAGAAGCCTGACACCCAAGGGTGTGCGGGCTGCAGACGGATCCATTATGTTCTTTTAACCTTATACGTGTCTGCTTTCAACAAGCATTTATCAGGCGTGACAGCGTGGTGACAGTCTGGGCACACAGGGGTGATGCAGGCCCGATCCCGTGGTCCCCACAGAGCTTGTCTTGAAAGCAGCCGCTTCTCCAGTCTTTTCTGTTTTGATGTCCCTTCTGAGGCTGGGGACTCGCATGCAACTGTAGAAGCAACAGAGACTGCACGTGTCCTCCGTTCGGTTTCCCCACGGGCACCTCACAGAGCGGCCGGGCGGGGCCACAGCAGGACATGGGCATCGCCATGACCGACGGACTCCCGTGTCACCTGCATTCCCATGTGTGCGAGTGTGCAATGGCACATCTGGGGGGGAGAGGGCTGAGATAATTCTGCTATTGTGGTCAAATACACATAAAATGGACCCTTTAGCCCGTTTCTAAGCATGTGGCTCGCTGACACCAAACAAGCCGTGCCACGCTCCTGCGCCGCCCTCCGGCTCCCCATCTTCATTGTCCCAAACTACAGTCTGTCACCCCTGAAACATTCAGTTCTTCAAGCTCTGAACCTGTGCAGATTCATGTGGCCATAGTCGAGGCAGGACGGCTGTCACCAAGGCCCCGTGCCAGCCTCAGCGCCCCGAGCACCAGCAGTCGGGCCCCATCTCCACGGGGCTTCTGGAGGGCCATCAAGGTGCAACCCCGCGCGTGGCCTTGGAGGGAGGGCACAGCGCCCGTGTGTCGCTGAGCAAAGCTGTCCACTCGGTAGCCTCTGATCACTAGCCCCGACATGACTTACCTGAACTAACATCGCCCAGCGTCTGTGCCCTCAGGCCTCTGGGCACTGGCCCGGCCGTGAGACACAGCCCCGGCCAAAGAGGCATTTTCGGTCAAGGAGGCTACGTGAAGGCAGGAGTGGCCGCACAACGTCAGGCAGCCACACTAGCGGAGACACGCTGCTCGTGCCCATAGTGGGCCCCAGTAGGCAGGCTGGTTTTGGTCGGGTGGATGGGAAGGTCTCCCCAGTGTCGTGGAGGACGTTTATGGGGCACTGGGCTCTCAGGGAGCAGCCCCACAACGGCCTCCATCGGGAGTGTTCGTCGTGGGGTGCAGTGGGGGAGGATGGGTGCTTTGCTCCGAGGGAGGGTTTCTGATGTGTGGGGAGAGGGAGGGACCCGGGCACATTATGGAAATGTACAAAACCTCAGAATTAGAAGGGGTGCTCTCCACTCTGCCGTGTAACTGGCACTAGCCCTCCCCTCCCCCAGTCACACACACCGGAATCTCAGAGTAGGACCACAGTAGGACCACATTCGGAAATAGTGTCTTTTCAGATGGAATTAAAGATCTCAAAATTATATCATCCTGGCTTAGTGTGTACCTTAAGTCCAATGACCGGTGTCCTTGTAAGATGGGGGGAGGCAGCAGCCCTGCTCCAGGCCGCACTGCATCTTGGCTGCCTGCCACTGAGCCCAAGGCTGTGGCCCCACGATGGGTGATGGGCGAGCTAGGTGCTCTGAGGGCTCCAGGCCCTCCAACCCCACTGCCAGGAGATCAGCGTCTCAAGACACCTGGACAGAGAAGGCCCAAGGAGGGCTCATTCCGCACCTTTGCAACAAACCAGTGCATACTCCCTCCCACAAGCCACTCCACATTCCTGGCATGAAGCAATCATGTGTGGCTCAGACCCAGGGATGGGCGCCGTGGGGGCTTGTTCTGGCCTCGGTGGCAGCTGCCGTCAAGCCGGAGCTTGGCCGTATGCAGGGCGCTGACGGGGTCGTGTGGACCCAGTCCCTGCACTCTGCAGGTCAGCCCCGGCTGATAGCAGGGACGGACCCCACCTCTCACAGGACACGGTGGGCCAGGCAGCAGAGCTGTGGTCGTCTGCGGTCATACAACGGCGTCATCTGGCCTTCTGCTTGCTGCCGGATTTACACGTGCTTGCCACGTTGGGTTTCTAGCTCAGGGTGGGCAATGCGCCCATTTTCCAGGCCTTGACCACACCGGGGAACAGGGGTGTCCATCTGCTCCTACCAAGAGCCCTACTGCCATGTGAGGAAAGGCATGAGGAGGGGCTGGGCCTCCATGAAGACAAAGGGAGGCCAGCAGGGCAGGGCCTACCTCTCGGGGTGGGGGTGGGGCAGGGGCAGGGCTGGTGATGTGCCCTCGGGAGCTGTGCAGGAGCTTAAGGCTTGTCCTCTGGAGCAAGTGGACGCAGGAGCCGGGGAAATCGGGGTGCCACGCCTTAGGGCTTAAAAATGGGGGAATGCGGGAAATGCTGCCTCCTGTGGCTCAAGTCCCCATCTTCACACCCACTTCCAGAAAGGCCGCGAAGAGCCGGGTGACAGCCACCTCGACAGGTGGGAGTACAGCAAGGGAGGGAGACACTGGGGGGCAGCCTGAGTGGCACAGGGGAGGAAACGCCCACTGGAGCCTGAGCGTCTGCAAGACAGAATGGACAGGGAGGGACAGACGTCGGGACAGAAACAAATATCCAGGTAGAGAAAAAACGAGGCAAGTAGACCCAGGCTGGAGGTCAGCTCCAAGAAAAGTGAGGGGCGGGACAGGGGTTCATGTGCCACGCATCACAGCGCCTGCGCGGCCGGCCGGAGTGGCGGTGCAGGAGAGTGGAGTCCCTGAGCCGAGGGCGGTGTCAACAGGCGGTGCCTCAGGCAGATACACGGAGCTGCGGCTCAGGCCTCAGCGGCCCCTGCGGACACGGCTGGAAGCGGCGGCACTGGTGGGGCTGGGACGGGAAGGGAGGTGGCCCCCAGGCCTCCCGCTGCTCAGCGAATCTTTCCGCCAACCACGTGCCTTTAACTAAAAGAAACTCACCATATACACAACATCAGACACCATCCCTTTCTTCACTCCATAAATACTGAGCAGGGTCTCAGCTGGGTCAGGTCCTGAGGCTGCTGGGGGCACAGGCGAGCGCAGGACAGACGCAGGGAGGCCCCCAGTGTCGCCCCAGCGTGGGGCCGGCTGGAGATGAAAGGCCACGATAATTAACACGGCTCTACGAAATCCTTTGTGGTGGCCCCAGAGAGAGCAAAGAGAGAGCAAAACCAATCTCTGGTTTCCAGAACACAAGGACCTCGGAAATTATAAGACATTAAAATAAAGCTTCAGGCAAAGGACTCCCGTTCTAGTTGCAGCCTGAAGGCAGATCAAAACGGAATGGCTCCTGGACGCTCGGGCACAGGCTTCTTGTCTGAGGCAGGCCCAGCCCCCAGCACGCTCGCAGCTGGCAGCAAGGACCCCGGGGCAAACCCCCAAAGGGCCCGAGGCCCCTTCCCCTGGTTACCCCTGGTCCCCAACCACACCGTCTCTTAAGGGCCCCCAGGGACACGCCTGAAGCCGCAGACTTATGTGGGGACGCGCCTGTGTCCTCAGCTAATGGCGCGCACGGCACCGGTCGGATATCGGGTGCGTTCCGTCGTGAACCAACGGCTCCCGCACTGAGCAGCCAAGTCTGGGAACAGTGCAGGAGGCGTCGCCCCTACTGCGTTGCTCAGACGGGGGCATTCGAGAAGAGCCTTGTGGCTGGGAAGGCTCCCTGTCCCAGCGTCCTCATGTCCCCTCCGTAGGGCGGGCCGGCCTCTGGGACCGCAGCCAGCTCGGGCGATGACGTGTCAGGGATCCGGAGTCTGTGCCCCCCGCGCGGGGTCCCGCGTGCAGGTTAGGGTTCCGCCCCACCAAGTCGGGAGGCTCAGCTGCATGGCCACGGGCTCCTCGGCACTTAGAGGTACTGAGGAAGGGTGGGGAGCCCAGCTCAGCTGGTCAGCACGCTGGCAGGTGCAGGAGGCCCCGGCGGGGAGCAGATCAGCAGGAGGCGCACACGTCCGACACGTCCGACACGTCCGAGGTCCCGGCCCGCGGCTGGAGAGGGAGCGCCAGGGACAGCGCAAGGCAAAGCAGCAACTTTCTTCTCTCCACCCAGAGCCGCGTCAGGGTGGTCACTTTTGGGCGACGGGCCCGGTGGCTACCAGCGGAGCTCGGCACCCACGTGCCGGCTGTGGAGCTCCTGCAGGCGCAGCAGCAGCGCCTCCAAGTTCTCCCCAGTCGCGGCCGACAGGGCGATGACGCTCGGGCCCAGGCAGGCGCGCAGCTGGGGCAGAGCCGCTCGGGCCTGCGGGAGGTCGATCTTATTTGCCACGACCACATGCGGTCGCTCCGACAGGCCGGCTTCATATTTCTCCAGCTCGAACTTCAGGTCCTCCACCTGCGTCCACGGCTCCGGCTCCGACAGATCCACGACAAACAGGAGGAATGGGCAGCGCTGGATGTGCCTGAGGAAGGCGCTCCCCAGGCCCTGGTTCTGGTGCGCACCCCGGATGATGCCTGGGATGTCGGCCACTGCAGGGCACAGAGAACAGAGGGGCTGCGGGGACAGGCCTGGCTCCCTGTGGGCCCTGCGCGCCGCGCCTTGAAGGGGATGCGGTCAGGCCACCCACCACCCCAGGCGCTTGTGCTCTCAGCTCTGCAGGGGCACCGAGGGGTGTGGGTGACAGGCCGGCTGGCTTCACACGGAATACTTAACACGGGCCAGCCTCTGGCTTTAGAAATGATTCAGAAAAGGGGGAAATGCTTCCTGTCAACTTAAGAACCGGATTCCTGGTGGCGAGTCCGAGCACTCGGCCGATCTAAGGAGCCGTAGGAGCAGCCCAAGCGGCAGCTTACTGGTTTTAATGGGTACATCATCTTCTGGGAAAAAGTTTTCTTGTCTCAAAATGGTACAGGGAAGCTTTTCGAGTCACATGTCGTCTCCGCAATGGAGGCTGGGAGACCAGAGGTGGCGGGACTTCCTCCGGTTAGAAAGCGACACATGGGTTCTGAACCCAGCCAGCAGAGGGCTGGGGGTCAGTGGGTTTGCCAGAACTACGAGTGCTGAACCGAGGAGAGACAGCGCTCCATCTTGGGTGGGAAGCTCTGAATTACATAATTCGTGCTTGGATGCCATCTCAGGCCAACCTCAGGCAGAACCCTGGAGCTCTACCTGCTATCTGCTGGTGGTCCTCACAGTGAACAATCCCAACGTGGGGCTTTAGAGTGGTGAACGGGTAGGAAGCCACAGCGGGTCTCGCGTTCGAAATGGCCCGGAGGAGGGAAGACTTCCCAACATTGGGGAACCCAACCTGGAGCAAAGGCAAACCAACCTTATCACCTCAGGGCGCCCATGCCTGGCCAAGGTCGGGGAGCAGGGACACGTAGGAGTGTGGGCTCCTGAGTGCGCACACAGGGCCTCCCTGGGAGGGGCGGTGCCACCAAGCTGTCCCTCATGCCCAGGCTGGAGGCACGTGTCAGCACCAGGGCCGGACTTTCTCTTGCTCTGTTGCAGAAATGCCACCTCCTCCCCGCTCCAGATGATACCCACCATTCCAGCGTGGGCCATCGTCTTGAGCTCCAGGAAGAGGATGCGTTCTTGACCGGGCCGTCCAGGGGTGCAAGTCACAGGTGCGCGGTTCTCGTTGGCCAGGAAAAAGCGGTTACCTTTTCCTCCTGCCCCGCCCAGAGCAGCCATGTACTCATCACCCGGGCGCGACAGGTCAGCCACGACTTCCTTTCCCTCCTTCACTAACGTGCCCACTGGGACCTGAAAAGAAAGTGCTTATAGGAGAGCAAATGCATGGGGCAGAGCGCTCTGCGCGCCTGTGTCCACGTTTGGAAGAAGGGCGCGTGGCAGAGGGGCGGGGGCACCACTAGGTCCCCCTTTGCGGAGTTCTGAAGCAGCAGGAAAAGGTCCCAGCCTTCAAAGGGACTTTACGAGGCTGTGACAGCCCTGCACACAGCACAAATGGCTTTTTGAAATAGTGTTTCTCAAACATTAGGGTGGATGGGAGCTTTTGGAAAACACTTGGATAATCTGAGAGGAGCCAAGTCTCCACCCCCAGAGATGCCCTGGGAGGGTAAGGATAGACTAACGGTGGGCTCCTGGGGTCTTGCCCTTAACTCTATAATTTCATGATTTTTGAACAGGTCATACATGCACATGGCATAAAGTGAGCACCAAGCGCCACCCCCGGGCTTTGCTTCATGGAGGGCAGCTGCATGGCCAAGACAGGGGGGCCCCGGGAGGCAGGCAGGGGCGGGCTCTGCAGCCTTCGGCTCACCAGGACGTAGAGGAGGGCGCCGCTGCGCCCGAAGCAGTTCTTCCTGCCACCGGACTCTCCGTGGAAACCCTGGTACCGAGACAGCACTGAGGACAGCGACTTGACTTGCCGGTCAGCTGTGACATAGAGCAAGGACCTTCACCACCCTTGGCTTAAAAGCACAACCATCTGTACACTATCCATTTAAGGACACAGGGAGCGCACAGGGAGCCATGGCGTGAAGTCAAGGCACAAGCGACCCAACTGGCAATGTGACTTTTTTTTAGAAAGCAAAAGTTCTCATTTTAAGAAAACACCATTTCTGAAAAAGTCAGACTTTGCCACGATACCATCATCAGAGTACCAGCTGTCGCACTGTATCGTGTCTTGACCGCTGACTACGTCGCCGCCTTACCCAGCGCTCGTCCCCCAGCGCTCGGCGTAATCAAGAGCCTCCCAGCGCATCCGGGGCGAGTGACGCGGGCCCTGCCCTTTGCCTTCCGGCCTAGCGCTAGAGCCCCTGAGCGTAAATGAGCTTTGTGTCCCGAAATTTAACATCACCCACCATTGCAACTGGTTTAAGGAACTTTTAAAATGTGAACATCCGTATAATGTCACCAAAATGGCGTCCGTCCGGCGGTTCTTGAATCCAAATCCGCGTGAGGATGAGAAGGAGGGGGAAAGGCCCCGCCCCAAAGGTGAGCAGACACAGTGCTCCTCCCCCAATGGCCCCTTGCAGCACGTGCCTCTCAGGACGACGTGGCCACCGTTGCCTCCATCGCCACCATCTGGGCCTCCAAACTCCTTCCGGGGCTCGCTATGGAAGCAGCTCACCCCGTCGCCGCCACGGCCCCCGCAGACGAGCACCCGGCGGTGGTCCACGAAATGTCTCTTCTGCAGGGAGCACAGCGAGCCCGGTCATTACCCACGCTGCAATCCCTCCAGGGACCGCGCAGCGTGCGAAATGTACCTTTTGTATCTGTGACAGGTTTTAAAACGAGAAGTTAATGATACTAAACTGCTAATTTCGCCTACGATGCAAGTGTGAGAAAGTTTCCACAAGTCACTACTGTTTATAGGCAAATGTCGGTCAACGCGCTGGAAGTGAAAACTGGTCAACAGGTAGGAAAGGCAGCCTGAGGAAATCAGGAGCTATTAGGAAATCCTCCTTAAATAAAGCATCTTTCCATCTTTCCTCAAATAGTCACTGAACAAAAACATTACAGAAACACCAGGTTTTTGCTCCTGGAAAGACGCAATAATGAACGGGAGTCCTGGGGGGCAAGCGGGCTCCTAACTCAGGAGCTGACTGCGGAGGGCTGTGCTCACAGCAGCGGAGCACACAGAACTGCTCTCAGAGCAAGCTTTTCTCTGGGCTCCTCAGGGAGGCACACTCTAGCTACAGAATGAGGACTGACGAACTGGGTTCACATTTAAAAAACATGAGCTCATCCTACGAGAAGGTCAGCTCTCCGAGGCGCCTGGGTTCCAGAGGCCAGGCTGTGACCGCTAGCGAGCCCACCCACCGGCTGCACGCGTGGGCACGGACAGCCCCTCTGCCAGGACCCAACATGTTGGCATTTCTAACCACTACTCCATAAGCAGATTAAAAAAAAAAAAAATACACAAGTATTTTAAGATTCTCTGGCACCACCACATGGAAAAAACACGAATTACTATTTCAAAAACTCAATGTCTAATTTTGTTATATGCCAACATCATCAACATCAACCTGATGGGAAAAAAGCACAACTGGTGAGCATTTTAGGGGAGGAAAAGCTTGGATTGAATTTTTACCGTCTGGGGAAGAGATGAGACCCCTAAGGAACACTGAGCCACGTGGCCGGCAAACACAGCCTCGGCGAGCAGGGAGGTGCCTACGGGGAGACGCTGTTTGCCCTGATAATGCTTAGCGGAGCCCCCTCCCCCATTCAGGAGAAAGTGAAGGGTCGTAAACACTTATTTTCTTGAATTTAATCAAAGATCATTCATGTTTTCAATACAAGGTTGTGATAAACAACAAACACCAGGTAAGGCTTAAAGAACTATGAAACTGAAGGCCTAGCCCTCCCCTCCCCAGATCTTTTCAATTAAGAAATGGCCACACATCCTTAAGAATGTACCTAGCACCCAAGTCAGACGCACAGGCGAGTGCTGAAGTGTGCGGCCTCCCAGCTGAAGGCACGGAACATAGCTGAAGCTTCTGGAGCCCCTGATGCTCGCCCTGGTCTTCGCAGGGTTCACGAGAACTGGGGGCTCGGGGCACACAGGCTCTCATCCCACTCCCGCACATTCAGGAAGCTACACGTGTCCCCTCCGTCTCACACTCAGAATGAGCCGGATGCCGAGAACTCAAAACAACGCCCTGCGCTTTCTCAGGGGGGAACGTGGCAGGTGTCCTTCACGGTCAAAAGCCTCACCAGTTTTTTCTCGGAGAGCAGTTTCTTCCTGGGGGGTTCCCGGTGCTTGGCGTGGTCCCCACAGCTGTCTGAGAGCAGCCTGGGAGAAGGGGGCCACAGCCGGACCGGAGTCCAGCGCCCCACGCCCCCAGGCACAGTCCTCGGTCCTAGTGAGAGAAGCCTCGAAGGCACCATGGCTTCCTAACAAAAATCAAATTGGCAAAGTCAGACACTTGGTTTAAAGGTGCAGCCAGACAGAACTCAAGGCCAGGCCCGTGCACGGCGTGTCTCCCGCTGTGGTGCTGAAACACACCAGCCGACCGAGGGCCAGGACGTCCTTCCGTCTCTCACCACTTTGAGCTGAGCCGGCAAAGCTCGCCTGCCTTCATCAGGCTGTCACCTGGGAGCAAGACGACAATTTAAACTGTTAAATCTCCTCTAACACCAGATATGCATGCTCCTTTGTGGGTTTTCAAATATCTGATCAATGAAAACATTAACCAAAAAACCTGAGCCTCAAATAAAAACTTCTTAAAAATAAAACACCCAATTACTCAAACGTTAGTGGGTTAGTTTGTACCACTTAAAACCAGCTGAACGGGAAGGTGGTGAGAATACCAAGTATGGAGTGTGGCTGTGATTCCCCCTTCGCCCCTCCTCCCCCGTGTGAGCCAGGGGGCACCCTTCCGTGTGCGGCCCCACCCTGTGCATCTGTCAGGGGACAGGGCTGGGAGGACAGGCCAGTTAATGCCCAGCAGGCCGCCCATGTGCATGCTGAGTCAACGTGAGCCACTTCTCCTTAACCAGGAGCTGCTCACACCAGTCCCTGTTCATTCAACAGCCCATAATAGCTACACATCCCACAGGTGCCAAGGACAGATGGGAGGCAGTCCGGGGCCTGGCCCTCCAGGGGGCAACACCCCTTCTCCCTTTGCTGTGAGTGCCTGATACCCACCCACTCTCAGGCATCCCCGCTGTGTGGGCATTTCCATAAAAGAAAAGCGGGTAGGCTTTCCTCCCGTTTCTAGGTGTGAAACGTACGTGCAGGTAGGAATATAAATGCACATGTCATATTTAGAGTCATTATAAAGCCACTACGTGTTTAACACAGCAGAAGAACAGAATTCAGTTTTCCTTAGACGTCCCTCATGCGTCTCCTGCTCCACAACTCACGTTCTGCCTGGAAGGGGAACATCCTTTGTGGGAATTTTTCTCTTAGCAAGGCACTACAAAATTTGGTTCTCATTTGGAAACAATCGCAGTTACGGAAAGGCGGGAGTTTGGGGGCGAGGGCTCTTTCCTTCCCAAAAAACCTGCAGGGAAGCTGCCAACCTTCCTCCCCCCATCCCACCCCGGAACACCCCATGGGGGCTCCCTGCGCCCACGGGCATCATCCCCTACGGAGCTGGGCGACCTCTGCAAGCAGGCCACCAGCCATACTCACCCCCACCCCTCCGCGGGGGTCTTCAGCTTCTTTAGCCTGGAATGTTCTCCAGCCTTTCCTTGGCTCTCGTGCCCGCGACACCTGCATGGCCACAGGACAGGCGTCTTTCAGCATGTCTGTGTCCCCGTTTGACGGCCACTCCCCTTGTGACAAGAATGTCCCACAAGCCCCGTGGAGGACTGGGTTTCCTTGGTCCCTTCCTGCCGTGCTTTAAGCTGCAGCCCTCGGGGGTCCCTGCCGGCTCCCCTTGTCCTCCTAAGCTTCCTGTTTATTCATTCCCATGGGCTCGTGCTTCTTATTTTACTCAGTGAGCCCAACTCTGTGATTTATTTATTTTTGATCTTCAAATGGTCTTCAGCTTGGCCAGAGTGGCAACCCATCAATCTCAGAGCACTTTCCTGCTTCGTGACACAAAATGTTCTGGGCTCGCTTCACACTCTCCCCAGGTGACCCAGGGCCAGCCTTGACTCAAGCAGCCCTAGTTGCTTCGGGTAGAGGATGGGATTCGGAAGCCCCCTGCATGCGGCAGGCCGCTGGGGTGTTGCTGCCTGCAGGCTCAGTGGGCCAAGAGCAGACAAAGGTGCACACACCCACACACACCCTCCCGCCGCCCCCGGCCTATGCCCATCCCCTCAGCAGGAGTGCAGCAACTGCAGGAAACCATGAGTTCACCCTATGTGCCTGATTCCACACCACAGGGCTCATGCTAGTTTTCAGTCTTGACAACCTCATTCTGACTGCCAGAATCCTGGCTTCCAACATCTTTGACATGTTTGTTTGTTGGCTCAGTCCCCATCGTAGCCAAACCTTCCCCGCAGGGATACCCTCCTGTTATCGTGCTGTAAGTGCACCGTTTTAAAGCAAACTTTTACTTGGGCATTATTGTATGTATGTGAGAGCGCATGGAGTGTGTAGCATGTGCAGGAGTGGGGCAGAGGGAGAGAATCCCAAGCAGGTTCCATGCCCAGTGTGGAACCTGACGCAGGACTTGATCTCAAGACCCCTGAGATCATGACCGGAGCCAAAACCAAGAGTCGGATGCTTAATGGACTGAGCCACCCAGGCGCCCCTATCTGGTAATGATTTTAGATTCACAAAAACGTGAAAGATACTCCCATATACCTCTTAGCTGGTTTCCCCTAGTATCAGCACCCTACATGACCTGGGTACGTTTGTCCAAACTAAAAAACCAGCTTGGGTACTTTCATTAAACTCCAGATGGCATTTGAATTTCACCAGTTTCCCCACTAACATCGCTTTCTCTTTTCCAGAGCCAGATCCAGGACCCCATACAGCATGAAGCCATCTGGAATGCTGTGTTTAGAGTCCTGAAAGGGCCCCGCGCCCAGCTTCACACATTTGGTGACAACACCTTTCAGGAGGGGAAGTGAAACACGACAGGCTCAGATGGTGGAAAGGCAGACATCACTGCCAATCTACTCGCTTTACAAGAAATGCTGCAGAAAGTTCTCCAGGTGAAGAAAAATGGCACCAGAGGGAAATCCGGATCTTTAGGAATGGAGGGCAGCAACAGAAACTGAACGCACAAGACCACCTCCTTTTAACTTTATTTTTTTAAAGACTTATTTTATTTAAAAGCGAGTGAGAGCGCACAGGGGGGAGGGGCAGGAGGAGAGAGAGAATCTCAAGCAGACTCCCCACTGAGTGCAGAGCCTGATGTGGGCCCAATCCCAGGACCCTGAAATCACAACCTGAGCCAAAATCAAGAGTCGACGCTTAACTGACGGAGCCACCCATGCGCCCCCCAAAATTAAATATTATGGTAAGAAAGACTGAATTATAGCATCACTCTGATTTATAATATCATGGGTGTTTAATGCAGGCAGAGGTCCTACATGTGAAAGTGGAGGATCAGGACGGGACTGCAGGGATTGTGTTTGGGTGCAAACAGCCTGCATTTCCATGACGTGGCGCAGTCTGGGCGCTAAGCAGGCAAGGACAGGCGAGGACAGGCTGGAGCGGCCCCCGGCATGCAGTACAGAGCCAGCCACGGAGCCGATGAGCAGATGACAGGGGACGCTTGGAAAGCACTCCAACGACTCAGAAGGACGGGGCTAACAGAACAAAGATGGGACAGACAACAGTCCAATAGTGTGCTCTGACCTAACCAGGTAAGGGAAGACGTCCGAGCACGACACACAGCCGCTCGCCAGGGAAACCAAGCAGCTACAGCTGCGCACGACGGGCACTTCCAAGTACATCAAGCAAAATCTGACAGAATTAAAGGGAGAAACAAACCATCCCACAAGGACAGGAGGGGTGTCAGTGCCGTTCTCTCTGGAAGTGATAAAGGAGCTCAAAACCGAACAACTGAACCACCAAAAGCAGTGAAGATGCCAACGGCCTGAGCACGGCCCCCCACACTGTGGGTCCGACCGCACAGAGCGGACGCCCGTCCGTGGGGAAGGTGAGCGCCGCCAGCTGTGCAGGTGGGTACAGAGTGTCGTCCAACTGCAACAGAACTGCGGCCGGTGAGGGCCAAGAACCCAAGGAAACCCCGACCACACGGAGATCAGACAACATCGCTGCGCGCAATCCAGCAGGTAAAAGACGACCCCAAGCAAGAAACGAGAGACTATCCTGACCGGCACGGAAGGAGAGCACAGGGACCATAGTCTCCGGGACGCTCGGAGCTCTGGGTGCTCACACTGGCAAAGGGGGACCTAAACCCAGGAGCTGGGATCAGGAAACCCGAGAAGAGCAAAGCGGAAGGCAGGACACAATGAAGAGCCAAACAAGCAGGACCGGACGCCGACAGAGACGGACAGGACCCGCCGGACAGCTCCCGAGAGTGACAAACCTCGCGTCAGACCCATCAAGAAAACAGCAAACACATCACCAATGTCAGGAATCTAAAACGCGTTTCACAACAAACCGTACAGATGCCGAAAGGGTGAGAGGACCCCATGGACCCATTTTCTTGAAAACGCAACTTACCAAGTAAACACAGAAAGAAACCGGAAATCAGCACCGTATCTACCAAAGAAGTGAAACTTACGGGAGAACACGCCCCAGACCACGCGCTGGACTCCACCGGCTTCCCCCGCAGATTCTAGAGCGCATTCAGGCAAGAAACGGAAGAAATAAGGAGCCATCTTACAGAGCTTCCTCAGAAAATGGAAGCGAGGTCACCACCCAGCTCGATGACCAAGGCCCATGGGACCCCAAACCAAAGCTGGTACTACTGACAAAGAAACTCGACAGCCCAGCACCCCTGGTGCACACAGATGCGGGGTCCTTCAGGGACAGGTGTCCGGTTGAGCCCAGGCCATGCCAGGGCCAAGGAGGGAGACTCCTGGAACTCAGGCTTCCCCCAGCAGGTCTGACCCCACCTCCCACTGGCAATCAACATGTGTGACAGCAGCCAACGGCCATTCACAACTGGGAAAATGAAATGCTGCAGCAGCTGAGGAACAGGCGGGAACACCTCCAAACTGATATGGGGCATCCACCAAAGGCCGACGCGGCTGTCACGCTGCCTGGAGACTGACCTGTTACCCCGAGACGGAGAAAGGACCACTATGCTCTCCCTTCTAGGCAACCCGGTCTTGTAAACACTGCAGTAACAACTGAAAAAAGCGGGGGAGGTAGGCAGAAAATGACTGTTTCCGCAGAAAATGACTGTTTCCACAGAAAATCCCAAGAAAGATCTACAGAATGATGATTAAAATGATTTAACCAAGGCTGCAGGTTACACAGTTAATACACAAAAATCACTTGCGTTCTTACACACTCCCAGTGAACAACTAGAAAATAACATTAGGAAACAATCTCAGGGGCTCCTGGGTGGCTCAGTGGGTTAAGCCCCTGCCTTCAGCTCAGGCCATGATCTCGGGGTCCTGGGATGGAGTCTGGGATCCCTGTCCAGCGGGGAGCCTGCTTTCCCTCTCTCTGCCTACTTGTGATCTCTGTCTCTGTCAAATAAATAAATATATTTTTAAAAAAAGAAAGAAAGAAAGAGAGAAAGAAAAGAGTTGCACTCACAGCCAGGAGCACTGCACGCGTAAGCTGCCCACAAACGAGCTGAACAATCAACACTGGAGACCTCCACCTCACTACCTGCAAAATGCTGATCTGAGTATTTTTAGGACGACCTCATTGGGTGCTCCTAACACCCCTGTAAGGACGGACTTTCATTCCCCCCACCCTGCAGATGAGGACGTGGAGCGACTCACCCGCGGCCTGCCCTATCAGATGGGACGGCAGGAGAGGAGTGTGAAACGAGCAAAGGGAAAAGACAACTCAGCCGTCATGTCTACCAGCGCACCCACAGCTCAGCCCACTGCAGAGCCGGACGGCCCACCCGGCCGCCATGGACGGCCGGCACAGGGCTCCGCCGTGAAACCGGGGGGCACCTAGCACACAGGAGGTCATCCCTGTAGAGCCAGCCAGAGACCTGAGCTCCAAATCCCGCGCACCTGGAAGTGCTTCCTCCTTCCTGCCCTTCCGACCGTGTGTGGAAAGGCCCGCTGGAGGCGGAGGCGCAGGGCTTCCCCCGGCCAAGCCCCCCAGCGGGACTTGGATTCCCACGGCTGCTCCGTCTGTTTTCCTTGTAAAGCGGGCACTGCCCAGTGCGGCAGCCCTCGCCGCCCGCGGCCACCACGTTTAAACTCATCACAAACTAAAAACCAGAAAAAGCCTGTCCCTCGGTTACACGCGCCGGGTGTCAGGTGCTCGCGGCCACACGTGGCCAGCGGGTCGCACACGCGACACGTGCAGCACAGCGGAAAGCCCCACCGGACAGCGCTGCTCCGCCCCGTGGAAGTGAGAAAAGCTGGAACTCCCCCCGGAGCCCCCGTCTGCCGGGCCTGTTCCGCGGATACAAGGGCCGGAGCGCGGAGAAAGCCGCTCCAGGGTGCAGCGGCTCCACGACTACAGGGCGGGGCTTTCAAGGTGCCGGAAGGGCGGTCAGGGTGGCTCGGTGGCTTCGGGACCCGCCTCCCGATCTCGGCGCGGGTCTGGATCTCCTGGTCGCCGCGGTCCGGCCCCGCCGCGGGCTCCGCGCTGCGCGTAAACCTGCTCGAAAGTCGGCAGGAAGTGCACGTGCTGGGGAGGCGCGCAGCGGCCGGGCCGGGGCCCCACTTTCGCCCGAGCCGCTCGGGTCCGTGAAGAGCGAGGCTCCGTCCTACGGGTGCGCAGAAGGCAGCGTCTGCCGGGGCCGCCAGCCCGCCCGTCCCAGCGGCGGGGGAGCAGCCGGGGCGCTGCGCGAGGTCCGGCCCGGGCGAAAGCGCGGAGCCTGCCGCGGGCCTGCGCTCGCCCGCCCCCGCAGCGCCCCCGCCCCGACCGCAGCGCCCGCAGGCCGGTCCGGCGGGGGCGCCCCGGGCTCGCACGCTCGGAGGGACGCCGTGCTCCGCCCCGCCGGACCGGCCCGCGCCGGAAAGGGCCTCCTCGAGACGCGGCCGCAGGACAGCCGCAGGGAGCGGCACAGGCCCCCGGCCGCGTCCCTCCGCTCCGCGCGCGCCTCGAGGAGCCGGCCGGGCGCGAGCCGCCTCCCCGCACGCCGCCGCCGCCACAGGCCACCGCGCGGCCGCCGACTTCCGCGCACCCGAAGGCTCCTCACACGCTCGCGCGCGGGGCTCCACGCCGCCGCCCCGCCGCCTGCGCCCGAGCCCCCCCGCGGCGCTCCCGGGCCGCGCCCCCGCCTCCTCAGCGCGAGGCACCGAAGCCCTCCTGCGCCCCCACGGGCGGCGCCCACGCCCGCACTCACCTCTTCGGAAGGCTACGTCACTTCCGGGGTCTCGACCGGGACCGTGAGGCTACTTCCGGTGCTGGACCCGCCCCCGGCACGGCCGCGCCTGCGCAGGGCCGGCCCAGCGCGCGTGAGCGGAAGACGCGGCCAAGCCCCGCCCATGCCTTTGGACCCGAGGGGGGTAGCTTTTCCTCTACCTGTGAGGAGGCGCAGGGTTGGAGGTACCGGATCGCCCCGGTCAGACACACGCTTGCCACTCGGGTCAGGCGACCGCCTCCCCCGTCAGACCGTGGCCGCCCCCATCAGAAAGACACCCGCAGCTCTCCCCCGAACCCCGTCAGCCGCCTCCCCGGTGTCCGGACAGACACCCACCTCCCCCCTCAGACAGACAGCCGGCTCCCCCCTCAGACACACACCTGCCTCCCCCATCAGGCACTGGCTGGCTCTGTCAGCTCCCTTCCCCGTCAGACACCTGCCTCCTCAGACACCTGCCTCCCCCATCAGACACCAGCCTTCCCTGTCAGACAGCTGCCACTATCATTGGACACACACCCACCTCCCCTGTTAGACACCAGCTGTCCATGTCAGACAGACGCCTGCCTCCATCAGATACCGGCTGTCCCTGTCAGACAGACAGCCTCTGCCCGCATCAGACACTGGCTGCACCCATCAGACAGACACCCACCTCCCCCACCAGACATCCGCTGTCCCTGTCAGACACTTGCCTCCCCCCTCAGACAGCCATTGCTGTCACACACCCACCTTCCCTATCAGACACCTGCCTCCTCCACCAGACACCAGCTGTCCCTGCCAGACAGACACCTGCCACCCCCCTCAGACAGCCATTGCCATTGCACACTTGCCTCCCCCATCAGACAGACATCTGCCTCCATCAGACACTGGCTGTCCCTGTCAGACAACCTCTGCCCCCATCAGACACCTGCTGCACCCATCAGACAGACACCCACCTCCCCCGTCAGACACCAGCTGTCCCTGTCAGACATCTGCTGCCTGTCAGCTGCTACTGTCATCAGACACACATCCGTCACCCCCATGAGACACCTGTTAACCCCATCAGACACCCACAGCCCCCATCAGACACTGGCTTTCAGACAGTCGCCGCCATTGTCAGACACACACCCACCTCCGCTATCAGACAAACACCCACCTCCCCCATCAGACACTGGCTGTCCTTGTCAGGCACCTGCTGCCCCGTCAGGCAGGCACTTGCCTCCCATCGTATACCAGCCGTCCCGGTCAGACAGACATGGACATCCCCCTTCAGATCCTCACCTCCCGCCAGACAGGCATCTCCCTTCAGGCACTGGCTGCCCCCCATGACACCCACCTCCCCCATCAGACAGAAGCCCACTGCCCCCTCCATGATCAGGCGCTGGTCTGTTGGTCTGAACACAAAGCACAGAAACTCCCTGGTTAGGGTGGTTTTGAAGAACCAGTTTATTCATACATTACACCAAATCATAAGCAATTTATGGGCGCCAAACTCTGACTGGAAAAAAACGAACTGATAGGATGCTTTCCAGAAAATGTACTGTGCTCACAAGTAAGACGAATCTGACCTGTTCAATTAATAGGAATGAAGGAAGAGCTCCACAAATCTAAAGGGGGACGGCAGCAGCGGTGCCCCGCTCGGAGCACCTGCTCGCACAAACACTGGCGGAACCGGGGGCCACGAGCACTGGGGGCCTTTCAGCAGCTCGAGTCCCAATCCACCACGCACCGGGGCAAGGCTCTGCAGCCGCTGTGAGTGTGTCAGCACTTCTGGACACCGTGGGCATGTCTCAAATCCACAACCTGCTGGGGGTCAGGGACATCACAGGAAGAAGGAGCGCCGACATCCGGGTCTTCTTTGCATGTCCCCTGGCCTTCTGTGGAAGCAGTCACAAACAACAAAGCACCATCGACCACACTGCACAAACAACTCACTTCAGCCTAAGTTTTTGCAAACATATTACAGAAGAGAAGATAGAATACGTTTAATGAAAAAGAACTGCTGGCATCACTTTTCCCCCACAATATTACATAAAAATGGACAACACATTAAATAAACATTCTGTTATTAATCATTAAATATATTAATACCAAAAATCATGTATAAATTAGGAAATAAATGTACAAACTATTTCACAAAGTGCTTTTTAAAATATATACACAACATTCAAGAAATTCTTAATGTAAGACATTTCAGATTGAAGTTTTGGGATAAGTTCAAGTGTCCTTTTCTTTCAAAAAGTATTAATACAGCACTTAAAAAAACCACACACACACATAAAAGGCATATTTGCAGATTGGCAAGGAATAAAAATAAACGACTTTCACAGTTATCTCGAATGTTTAACATTTTCAATGGGGAATTTTAGTCCCCGATTGAGTCTGCAAATTAGTCCTATGAAAACTGCCAAGAAAGATCAGAAGAAAAGCGAGGGAGGCGCCTCCCTAAATGAAATTGCTAACGTCTGTGTCATTTAGCAATTAAGAACACTCAGTTCACCGACTTAACATAAATACATATTTTTAAGCCCTTACCAGTGTCAAGAGTTTTTAAAACCCATATGCCTCTAAGATAAACACTCCTATCCCAGCATCTGTGATTCTGTCCCCACAGAAGAGGGGAAAATAGCCTAGAATAGGACCGGTACTCATCTGGGGCAATCTTTAGTCTGTGCCTCAGTTCTTCATCTGTAAAATGGGAACAGTAATTGCCCTCATATTTCCCAGTGTGGACTGTCAGGATTCATTCAAGCAACAAAACAAAACAGAAACAACATAAAATACCTCGTAAACTGTAAACCATTCGACAGCTCTGGATAAATAATTACTTTACACTTTTAAAACATTTCTGAAACTTACCAATTCAAAAAATCATCTTCAGTAGACCTGATATGTCAAGAATTGTTTTTGTTTTTTCTTCAAATTTTCTTGTTCTTAGAAGTATGTCAGCATTTATCCGAAGATGTTTTTAAAGTATGCATGTGGGTATTACTGTCCAGGTAAAAGTTGCCAGAATGTCTCTATTACTAATTAGTGAAATACTGGGTTTTTCCTTTGACTATGCTTTTGCAAGTGAGCGGTCTTTACCGTTTGTATAGAATTTAAGTGGGATTCAATGTCCTAGGAATGTAAAATTTACTCAAATTTCCCCATATAAAACCCTTCCTTTTCGTTAGGAAGAACACAATAAAATTTGTGGCGTTCTTTTTAAAAATAAGACCTGAATTTCAGATAGCTCTAAAAGAAAAAGGACGCTTGCTTGGAGATCTGAACAAGGAGGTCCTGAAAGAAATAATATAAAACAAACAACTTGCCAACTGTTTGGGAAGTTTGGTATAAATATTTTATCAGTTTAGAATTGGGCGTATTAAATATTCAAATCCCAGAAACGACCATTGGAGAAACAAGGGCCAATGCCGGTCATTTCAGAGAACTGCCCTGTCTTTCCTTCAGGAACGACCCTCGTTCCTTCCCTGGGTTAGGCTAATTGTATGTTTATTTGGAATATGCTCATTGATCCCTCTTCACTTTTTAGTACAAAAACAGGACATTTTGGATAAACACAATTGGCAAGAGACACAGGTAGCGTGTGAGCGTGTAAGCTCTGGGAAGGACTGTTCGCAGCCTCTCCAAACAAAGCATATTTATCCTTTTCATTGTGTAACAGAAACTGACCCAAAACATAGAAGATGCCCGCCCCCCACCCATCGAGGCACAGGAAGAGGTGGCCATCCAGGGGCTGTGGCGTGTGTCCAGCTGTGGTGTAGCCAGTGAGAGACAAGTTTACAACCCACGTTACGACAAGTGTGTGAGGAGTCAGACCCGAGGCTCGCTTATGTGAACACATGGACTGTGGCATCTTGTAGCTGTGTCCCATGCCTGGGCTCAGAACACTCTGATGACAAAAGGATCCCTAAAGCTAGCTAGAAACATCAAGGAGGGGGAGACAAAAAGGAGACAACCTCTCCACTGTATGGACATACAACACTATACACAGCACCAGATAGGTCACACCATCGAAGCGCTGTCTCTCGCCCGCGGTGCACGCTCGGCATCACACCCAGCGTGAAGTGTGCACGCGTCACATGCAGACGCTGCGTGGGCCGGAAGGGCAACCGAGAGGTCGTGGCTCATCAGAACTGCCACTGGCCCGGCCATCCCCGGAGGGACATGCCACCACAAGGCTCTAACAAGAGTGCTCGTTCCTTACTGCTGGTAATTTCCATACTGGCCCTGCAAGAGACCAAAACACGTGTTACACTTCCCTAGTCAGGAGTCAAAGTGGCAGAGAGGACCCCACCCCCCAAACCCGGGATTAGGGACGAAAGGAGGTATGAAAATCAAGCAAGCCAACAGCTCTCTGCCTAGAGCTATGGGGCAAGGCAGGCGCTGGCTCCCTGAAAGCCATGGTCCAAGCCTGTGGCTAAGGATTGAACCAGGTCAGTGAGGCTCCTTACCAGCTCCCCCCAGTAAGGCCCCCCCCACCACGTTGCCAGCGGCCAGCAGCAGGGCTGGACGCAAACTTGGGCTGGGGCTCTGAGGCCAGAGCCACTCAGCCAGCCACGTCTGACCCTGAGTGTACGTGCAAAGGTGATTTCTCAAACCCTCACGGGCTCAGAGAATTAACATTCTAGACGGGAGCTGGGCAGCCAATTCGCTTCACGCGTTATTCCACGCGATCATGAGTGAAACCTTCGTCATGTCTCCACGGACGCGCCGGGTCTTGCCTGCTCATAGCCGTAAGGCCGCTGCTGCTGGGCGGACGGGCCCGTCTGGGATGCCCTGTAGCTTCCGTACTGCTGGCCTTGTCCTTGCTGGTAGCCGGAGTACTGCGAGGCAGCTCCCTGGGCCGGCCCTGAGGGCGCATACCGGCACCGTGAGAACGAGGCAGCACGCGCCCTGACCCCCGGGGGCGCCTGAAGCACCAGCCCGCTCCTCCTCAACCCACGGGCCCCCCAGCATGAGGGCACTGAGCGTGGGAACAAGGCTGCCGTGGGCCCCCTGCGACCCGGCCGGGCTCACAGCTTCCTGGCAGTGGTGAGTCCGCCCTGGTGGTTGCTGCAAACCCGCCCGTTAAGTACCACAGCAGCTGCTTCTCCTGGGCATTCCCGTGGAAACTCAGGTGAAGCCTTTGGAAAGAACTAATAAAGATCAAGTAATTGCTCAAAAGATGCTATTTAATGAGTCATGGTTGCAACAGGTTGGACAAAAACCTGAAACTGCGGCTCTCCTTCCCCGCAACGCGCCGCGGGCACCGGTGAGCCCAGGAAGACGCCTCACGCAGGGGGGCCCTGCCTGCCACCTCATTTTTCCAGAGCCTCCCGGGTGGTCCCGAGGTGCAGAGGCAGAGCCCCACCGCCCGCATGAGTTCCCGCAGCAGGGCCCACGGCTCCGGAAGGAACGGGGCCCAGCTCTGCGCGGGCGGGCGCGGGGAGGCTCCTGTTCACGTCTCGCCAGGACGCTTCAGGGGAGAGGCGTCCACGCTCTGTGAGTGCTCCCGGACTCACTCTTTTGACGAACTAATCACCTACTCTTCAGGTCCTAACAACGGCTTCCGGCATGTATCCTGAATGTTAACCACATGCCCGGCCATCACGTGGTGGCAACAGTAGGCAGCTGTCCTCCTGTGACAGCAGCACCTAGAAGTACAACTCCCCTCCCCCACCCGCCCGCCCCCAGCACCCCGGGTTCTGGGGAGCGCAGCCCGTGTGCATCTTGGGGGCTGGTTAGCATGGGGAGAGCCTCGTGCGGTTGCGGCTCTCGGCAGACACGACCCAAAGGCTGGGGTCCGGAGCAACTGTTTCAGGTGGATCTGCCTGGGGAGGACGAGGCCCACAGAGGACCGGGCAGATGTGTGGGCTACTATCCGGGCAGGACAGCCCTCAGTGAGACTGAGCCTGCATTCCGCTGATCTCCAGTGGACGGGGCTCTTCCCTTGTTGCTACTGTAGCGCGAGAAGCTCCCTCTGTCCACTTCTCTGTCCCATAGGCCTGAAGAACAATATTTGTTGGCGGGCTCCATGGCAGAGCCCGTGAAGGCCCGCTGGCCCCCGGGCACTTTAGGGAATCCTCACAGGGTGAACAAAAGCCAGCGAGCGGGTGTGAGCTTCTAGAAGCTGCCGCCACGCTAACCCATACGTGGGCTGTCTCAGGTGACCGTGTGGGGGGTGCTCAGAAAATGCCCACCTGACCGCGGCCCCTGGTCCCTAACGCTGTTCTCCCATTGGAGGACCCAGAGCACCCGTGAGACATGCTGCTTCTAGGGCTAGAGCACCGAGAGTGCTGTGGTCCCAGAGAATAAGGAGATGCTCAAAGACAAAAGGATGGGAGCACGGCAAAGGGACTGCAGGGCCCCAGGTCCCCAAAGGCGAAGCTGGACGATCTGAATCAGAGAAGTCTAGGATCTAAGCCGCTGTGTAAACTGAATGCAAAGAATACATATTGATAAATGATTAATAACTAATCATTAATTAATTACTCTGCCTTAAAGAGAAATTCCAATTCTTCCTTCCGGAGCGTGGGTTGGGCTCAGTGGCTTGGTTCCAAAGATCAGGAAAAGTAGAGGACGAAGGGATAACTTGATGGTGGGGCACCAGGGACCGGGGTCAACGTCAGAGGCCAGTCATGTTGACATGGGATAAGAAGAACTTGCCCCCCCCGCCCCCATGAGGTCTTTCCAAAGCCCACGGCCCAGTCTCATCCTGAAGAAAACCTCAGGCAAGCCCAACCCGAAGATGTCCTACAAAACACCTGCCCAGTCTCGCTGAGACCGCCAAGGTCCAGAAGGACAAGGATTTCCCAGGTGCGGTCCCAGCTCAGGGGAGCCTAAGGAGACGTGAGACTCAGTGCCAAGGGGAATCCCAGATGGGTGCCGGGACAGAGAAGGACCGCTGGGCACACGAGTGAGAGCTGAGTGAAGTCTGCACTCGGTCCCCGGCAGTGTGCTGGCGGGGGCTGCTGAGCTGGGACAGCGGCCCTGCGGTCGGGCGAGGTGGACAGCAGACCTCTCGGCACTAGCTGCACAGCTTTGCAGGAAATCCAAAACCCTTCCGAAGGACGCGGACCAAGCGTCCACTGCGCGAGCGGCAGCGCGACCGTGCGCAGGCCTGCGCAGGGAGACGCTCCCCCTTACCGTAGCCTTGCTGCTGCCCGGGGTAGGTCTGCTGGTTGGAGTACTGCTGCTGGTACCCTGTCTGCGGCTGGGCTGCGCCCTGCTGGTACCCCGCCGGCTGCTGGCCGTACTGCGAGTTTCCTGCGGGGGGAAGGAGACACAGTGCGTTTCTGGGCACGGAGGCATTCCTCCCGCCACTCAGGACGCGGAGCCCTTGGAAAAGCCCTGGACCAGCTCAACTGCTTCAAGATCTCTTTTCACAACGATTCGAGTGTGCAGGTACAGCCCAAGTGACACCGTTAACACAATTTAAGGCTAATACAAGTGTTTTGGGTTGAACTGTGCCCCCCAGAAAGGTACGCTGAAGCCCACGTCATGTACCTGTGCACGTGCTCTCACTTGGCAAAGGCTCTCTGCAGATGGAAACAGGTAAGGGCCCGCTGCACTGACTAGAATGGCCTGCTTATCGCAAGAGGGCACCTGGACACGGACCCGGGGACAAAGCCCCACAACAGCCAAAGCGGAGCGCGAAGTAACGTGCCTACAAGCCGAGGACACCAGGACTGCTGGAGCCTGTCGGAAGCTGGGAGAGGGTCTGGGGCGGACCCTCCAGTTGAGCCCCCGGAAGGACTAACCCTGCTGACATTGGATCTCGGCCCTTGGGCCTCCAGAGCTGAGAGAGTGATTTCTGCTGCGCTCAGCGGCCCCGTCTGCGGCACCTCGCCACACAGCTCTCGGGGCCAGGACAGCCGGGCAGCAGGCCTGCAGCAGCGACTCGGAAGGAAGCATGTTTCAGCCTCCGATCAACTATGGTTTCGCTTGCGTAAAGATCCCAGTGACAGAACCTGTAGACAGCTAAAAACGCGCCCCTGAGAACGGAGCTGAAAGGCACAGTGCAGTGTGGGAGTGTAAACGGAGACACCCCGAGGGTCCTGGACTAAGATCCGTAGAGCGCAGTGACCCCCAGGGTGTTCTCCACGCGCGCCTCGTGGTGTTGACTCCTGCAGGGTTATTCGTCTGCGAGGCCGGCGGGTCAGCCAGTGAGAAATACCGTCCCACCAGTAAGGAAAATACGGAACGTGACTGCAGGCCACTGTGCGTCCCAAGCAGGAGACAGGTACCCCGCATACTTCCTTGAGCACCATGAGATAAGCACAACCGCGTGCCCGTTGTACAGGTGGGGGGCTGAGGCGCACCGCCCAGCGGCGCAGGAGCCGGCACTATGACCCGGGAGCCGGCAGTCTGGGATGGCTCAGGGCCTCCAGAAGGGAAACTCGGGGACGTTCCAGTCCATGGCTGAGGACACGCTCAGGTGAGCAGCAGCTACCAGGACACTCCTTGGAGACGGCTTACTGTAAGTTCACGCGGGCACATATTTACCTCTATAGGTTTTAAAAGTTTATTTAAGTCATCTCTGCACCCGACATGGGGCTCAAAATCACAGACCCAAGATCAAGAGCCACATGTTCCAGTGACTGAACCAGTCAGGTGTCCCCACAATGCCTTCTTATTTAAAAAAATCTAGCCAGTCAGCATCTGTGCCCAAAGCCTCATGTGGCAGAAAGCCCACGGGAGGAAGCGCGGCTGAGGAAAGCAGGGAGGGCGCCGCCATACCGTTCCTGAGTGGGCAGCACGAGCAACCGTTAGACCCTTCCTGCAAACATCCTGGACGCAGGTCACAGGGCTGCCGTTCCAGAGCAGTGTGGGAGTGACCTCCCACTCACGGTTTTCCAAACACCTTCGCGAAAAGACCAATTAAAGTCTAGCGTCGTTTTCTTTGGAATAGGCCTTTGTTCTTCAACCGTGCCAAGTGCTCTGCCTTCAATTTGTACTAAGTCCTGTCCCCAATTTGTGCAAACCCACTTCTCTAGAAGGAGGGGCATGGAGGGGACGAGGGGCCGTCACTTGACTGCAACACCCCACGGCAGATGACTGGCCGGCCCAGAAAGGACACAGCAGCCTCCTTCTCTGTGGGGGATCCATCGTAGACCCTGTGGACCCCGGAAGCCGAGGGCAGAGCCATGTCTGCACACACCGTGCACTCCCCTCCGCACGCACGCACCTGCCGTCAGGTGTCAGTGATGAACGGGGCACAGCCAGGGACTGTCAGTAACCACAGACACCAGAAGACAGCCTTCACCACGTGTGGTGACCAAAGTTGTGCGAATGTGGCTTCTGGCTCTGGAAACGCCTTCTGGTCCTGTGCTCACCCGCTGGTGTTGATGGAATGATGTGACCTGAGCAACGGGGGCGGCGGACGAGTGGGAGGGAGCACCTCACCCCTCTGACCCTGTGTGGGGGGAGAGGACTACTATAGTTGGCTATTTTTTTCTTTTAAATCAAAACATGTCCCGGGGCACCTGGGTGGCTCAGTGGGTTAAGCGTCTGTCTGCCTTTGGCTCAGGTCATGATCTCAGGGTCCTGGGATCGCGTCTCACATCGGGCTCCCTGCTTCTCCCTCGGCTGCTTCCTCTACTCGTGTTCTCTGTCAACTAAATTAATGAATCTTTAAACAAACACACAAACCAGATCCTGGAGACGTCGTTTTTAAGCAGCAGCCTTCCTGAGAGCTGTCGCCGTAAAGGCTTGCACCCCTCACGGGGACTCGAACCGCAGCCACGAGGAACAGCAGACGCGCGAGGGCTCTGACTCCAGGGCACATCCTCCCTGCTGACCCTGCACACTCTCCGCGTCTCCACAGTTGCTCCCTGCCCTGGGAGGCCCCGAGCTCTGAGGGACTCCTTCCTTCCAGCCGGTGCGGTGCCGGCGGGGCAGCGCGGGCCCCAGGGTGCGGTGCGCAGCCAGCGGACCTGCACGGCCGAGTCACAGAGCAGTTCTCCGGGGCCTCAGATGGTCGGTTGCTCTGCGTTTTCTCAGCTTTAAACCCCCTTTCGCTCTTCACGTGGTAACCGATTCAGGAGCTCAGTCACGTGCACCTAGCCGACGGCCTGGCACACAATAGGTGCGCAACAAATGTGAGCAGGGGTGCCGCGGAGGACCTCGGCTCTGCTCCCACGCACCACAGAAGACCTTCCCTTCCGTGGAGCCAAACCCGGTAGCCAGGGGGCCTGCTTGAGGAACGTGGGCACAAAGGAGCCACCAGACTCAGCCGCCACCAGGAGCTACAGCCCAGTGACTCACTGATGCGTTTGATAAAACTACTTCTGGAAACAAGGCTGTGCCTCGGGGACGCCACGGGCTATCCCAGAGCAGCCGCCATCCCCACCGGTCTGGGCGTTTACTCACAGGGGACGTGCCGGTCTCTGGGGCAAGACCCTGAGGGACCCCCGAGGACAGTGCTGTGACCACGGGGCTCAGGGGCATGGATGAGTCTGGATGGCCAAAAGGTCAGGCCACTTTGATTTTCAGTGACAACTGGTAACGTTTATTGTTTCTAAATTTGGCTTTTGCACAGACGCATACGTTCACGTGACAACGCAAAAGCGAATGCGGTCCCCCTTCAAGTTTCAGGGAAGAAGGCCACCTCCAGCCCTGCCAGCTCCCCAGCCCGTACCCCACCCACAGCCATGGTCTCACACAGAAAGTGGCTCCCCTGACACCCTCATCCTCGACACCTGGCCTGAGCACATGGCCCAGCCCAGAAGAATCTGCCGCAGCCGCCCACAGGGAGTTCCGTGTCTTTTAACAGACTCGGTGCCTGGGGCAGGGCACAGGGGACACAGGCTCCTTCCAGGCTCTGCTGCGGCAAACCTCGCAGCCAGGAAGTATAGCAGGACGCCTCTTGGCGAGCGGTGTCTGCCTGGCTCAGTCGGCCCCTCGGCCCCTTACTCTGCCCTGCCTGGCCTACGGCAACCTGGCCCCTTCCCGGCGCCGGCCCTTGCAGGCCAGCGGCCTCTCATTCTGTGGGACCACACAAGGTCCCTGTCAGATGCCACCTCCTGCGAAGACCCCAGCACCAGCCCCCTGTGCTCCACAAGCCTCCTCATCCCATGGTGGGACCAGGGCTTTACAGGAAACATTTTTATTGGGGCTCTGGTCCACCCCCTCATTGCTTCCACTCGAAACCCTCCACCTCCATGGGTCACAGGCTGCTTGTGCACAGCCGTCTTCTCAAAGCATGACACCTGGCGCCTCGCAACAAGGCCTGGCAATGCCGCCCACCGTGGGGAGACCTGACCTTGTACCACAAGTACGTGGAGTCCCAGCCACGGGTCCAATTAACAAGACGGAACAAAACACTTCCAGATTCAGGAGGAAGCCGTGCCGTCTGCCACACTTGCCTCGGAAGAGCACACTTTCTGTCGGTTACGGAAGGCAAGAGCACGGAACCCAAACACGAAGGAATAAAAATGTGCGCTTCCAAGTTCAAGAGGCTGAGTGCATGTCCGGGGCTTATCTTTGGGGAAGTCGTTTCTGCCTCGGACCCTCACCTGGACAAAGCAGGGATAAGCCAAGGCACCCTGCGGCAGGGAAGGCAGCGCACGGGCATCTGGGGACGGAGGGCAGGGCTGGCAGGGGCGTGTTTGCAGGGAGATGCTCCGGGCGGCCCACCTCCTCCCGGCAGGCTGGGACCCAGAAGCGCGGATACCCGAGCGCACCCCATCTACCTGGTCAGCCTGCGGTCCCTCGAACCTCCAGTACTCATGCCAGTGACCCCGGCCAGCCGTCACAGCCAGGCACCTGCAAAGCTGCCATGGGCCAGGGTCCCATCTTGGGGGCGGCCCAAGGTGAGGACGAGGGAGGCGTACAGAGAACACTCGCAGGGATGGCGGACGTGAAAAGCAGCTGAGGTTCAACTGGAGAGGAAGAGCATTTGGGGCACCTGTGTGGATGGGGGAGGGCTAAGGTGGTCCCAGGTGGGACCTTAGTGTGGTTGCTAACAAGGCAAGACCAAGGGCAGTTGTGGTGACTGAGAAGGCACAAGGAAAGCGTTACCTGTTCACCACGAAGGGCCAACACTTAACCAGTTCCTAAAAATAATAAGGAACATCGAGTCCCTCATGAATAATCTTACTTTGAGGCGGTTGGGATGGTTCGGTTCTCTGGTTCTATACCCACCATCGGGTTCCAAATTCAGCCTGGGGCGGCGGCCAGGTCATTGCAGCAGCTTTGAGAACAGGAGGGGCCGACGTGGGCTGCCTCTGGGGTCGGAGGGAAGACCTGGCTCGCCGGGTGACTGCGCCGGGCACGTGCAGTCTCGGGGTCTCGGAGCCAAACTCCCCGGGAAAAGAAGGCTGGGTCTGAGCCGTGTCCCTGAGTGGCACCAAATGTGTGGACGTGGGAAGCCGCTGCAGGGAAACACTCGTAACCAACCCCAGCACAGCCTCTGGGTGATTCTCCTCTAGTCTCCAGATGCCCTATCATCTCCTAGCATTCCAAGTAAAAAACCAAACTGCGTGTGGAAAAGCGTATGATAGTTCTTCAAACAACTAAACACAGAATCACCCTATGACCCATAATTCTCTTCTGGATGTAAATGCAAAAAAAAAAACGGAAGCCAGGACTCGAAGAGAGCTTTGCACACCCACGTTCACAGCAGGAGGGTTCCCAACAGCCGGGAGACAGAGGCAACCTGCAGGTGTCCGTCGACAGCTGAACGGATGCGCGCACTCCGGTGCGTCCCCGCAACAGAAAACAACTCGGCCTGACACCTGCTATGGCACACACAACCGCGGGGAGGTCCTGCTCAGCGAGCCGGGCCAGGCAGCAGGACAAATACTGCAGGGTCCCACTTACGTTAAGGCCCTAGACTCATCATGTGCAGATAGTGGCGTGGTGGGCGCCTGGGGTGGGAAACGGGGAGCCAGGGTCTGACGGGGCCAGGAGATCAGTCTGGGAAGAGGAGCAAGTCTGGGAGACGGACGGCGGGGACGGTGACCGCACGATGTGAATGGGCTTCCTGCCACTCAGGCACACTCAGAAATACCCCCAGCGGTAACGTGTATTTTTAGCATAATTCTTTTAAAAAGCCACCAAAAGCATCTGGATTCACAAGCTGCCTGTTTCACGTTTATTGCTTGTTTCCTTCCTCCGGGGCCCCGCTGCCAACCCTCACCCTGTCCCTACTTTGGACACCCAGACCAGGAAGCCGGGGCCAAGCCCGCTGGGTCCCGCTTCCCTGGGACTTTAAGGTTTTTTCCTCTCTTGGGGTCTCCCAAGGGCGGGGAAGTCCCTTCGCTGTTTGGGGGCCCCACTGAGAAGCAAATGTGCAGGTTTCTTCCCAGTTGTGTGTGTGGTGACCTCACGCTGGAGGCCGGACGTCGGGCGGGCGCCATATTCCCAGCGGGGAACGGGGCGCGAGCTAGTCACTGGCTTTCTGCTCACGAAGCTGGCTTCTCTCACCACCGCCTCGCCTCACCTCACCTCCACCAGAAAGCCCCCGGGGCAGCTCCACTGAGGAAGGCTGGTGGGGGGTGGGGGCTGCCTTAGGCTTTACCAGGCCAGCAGATGTCCGAAGAAGTGGCCAGGCCGGGCCCAAAGAAGCCTCGCGCTCCACGGGCCCTGCCCGGCCGGCTCAGGTCTGGGCAGGGACTGAACCTGCCCCACTGAGTCTGGACTCCGGAGGGGCTTCGACAGAGCTCAGAGGCCCCAAGCGGCTCAGCCAGGCCTGATGGTGGCGTCTGGGCCCCTGCCACCCCCACGCAGCCAGTCACGCCCCCTCCACCCACCTGCATCGTGATCAGGGACGCGTGACCTGCCTGTGTGGCCTTGGCGGGCACACTCGGCCCTGGAGCCCCACCGCCAGCTGCGGCTGCGCATCGGACAGCGAGCTGTGTGCTCTCCTTACCGCCCTCATAGTAGTGCTGCGTGGATTCCTCGAAGGACCGGTCGTAGCTCTGCTCTGTGTAGGACGACTGCTGGTAGGCGTAGTCGCCGTGTCCTGCGGCAGACAGAGGCCACGTGCTGTCAGCGAAGGCCCGGATGGCCGGGAACCGAGCGTCCTGCACGGGACCTGGATCCGTTTTCCCTGCACAAAGCCCAGGGAGGGGCTTCCGACCGCCACCCTGCGTGTGGGCTGGGCGTGAGGACCCAAGGAGCACGGTGCATAAAGGGGAGAGGGTGTGTCAGCGCCTGCCCCGCGAGGAGCTCTGCCGGCACTGCCACCTGGGGGCACCTGCTGGGGTGTGCCCTGCACCCTCAGGAAGCCTCTGTCACCGTTCCCTGGCAGGGGCGCTGCTACCTCCTTCGTGCTCCCTGCCTGGTATTGTCCTCCTCCCCAAATCCCACCGCCCTCTATGACCACTCTGAAAGCCACCTCCAACCCTGGGACTCTTGAGGAACGACTGACAGGTGAGCACCGGATGAAAGCAGCAGACACGCGGCTCAGCGGCGACACCCTCCTGAAGGCATCTCACGAGAACACTTGTGTCCCTCTTAGGAAACCGTCTCGTGCACCTGTTCATCCTAGCCGTAACCCCTACTGCGTCTTGGGAAAGGGGACGAGGGGTCTTGAATCCGTGAGTAGCTATGGCCTGAGACCAGCCCTGCCCTCACCCTCATCCCCAAACACACTTGGGCAAGGGGCTTCTGGGGGCTCTGCTGGCAGAAGTCGGGGCGACGCGTCCAAACGGGAGTGACCAGAGAGCAGCGACCGGGAGCCGCTGAGGTGCCCGGTGTCACGGCACAGCACGGGCGTGGGCCTCACCATCGGGATAGTACTGCTGGCTCATGGGCTCTGAGGCGGCCTGGCTGTGGCCGTACTGATCGCCACCATAGTACTCCTCCTGGCCCAGGTACTGCTGCGACGACCCTGGGGATGGACAGCACATGGGGGACATGAACTCAGAACACTCATGTCACAGGATAACCCCCGCCCCGGCCGCATGGGTGTTCTCCCCCACACCCAGACCCGGGCACCTGAGACTTGGAACTTATAAATACAACCGCCCCACCCGACTCCAGCCCCTGCAGCAGCTCAAGTCAGGTCCGCCTCTAGGAGCAGCACAGGCTCTCAACCTTCTGCGCCCCGTGAGCCCCACACAGCTCCAGACCCCCCACCCCTTCGCTCGATGCTAAGGACCGTGCAGAGCCCCCTACCCCAGTTCTCAGGAAGGAGGCGGGCGCAGGCAGTACCTTGCTGGGAGGGCCGGTAGGGCGCCATGGGCCGCTGGCCCATCATGGTGCTGCCCTGCCCGCTCTGGCCCATCATGGCGATGGATGACTGGCCCTGGTAGTGCTGGCTGCCGCCCTGGGCCGAGTTGTAGTGGGACGAGGCTGCCTGCTGGTGCATCATGGACACTGGGCGACACGACAGACCCGAATAACCCCGAGAAGCTCCCTGGGAGGCACCCTGACCCCGCACCCCAGTCCCCAACGGCGCCCTTCTCCTGGACCCAGACCTCAGCTCCTGGGCTGCCTCCACACGCTGGAAAATCGCCAGTCCTGTCCTCCCGCACCCCCAAGGCTGCTCCCAGAGGAGCCAGGCCTATGTCCGCCTGGGAGACCTGGGCCTCTAAGGCCCCTGGAGGGTGGTCTCTGCCCCCTGCCCCCGTCTGGTGGTGCCGCCCCTGCTCGGAACCTGCTGGGGCAGCACTGAGGAGAACCACGTCAGAAATAGACGCCAACAGGCGAAATCTATCTTAGTAACATGTTTTATTTGACTCCATATACCCCAAATATTCTTATTTTCAGTATATAATTGATAATAAAAATAAACTAAGGAGATACTACACATTTTCCCTTTCCGTATTAAGCCTCTGAACTCTAGTGCCTGACGTCCTGGGACATCTGCGTTTGGGCCTGATGGTACCCAGTGCTCAATGTCTGTGGGCCTGCACCCTGCCTGCACTGCCCTCATCCCGAGTGAGCCTGACTCTGTCCCCTGAGGAGGGGATGTGTCGCCCCTCGTCAGAGCCCTCCCCAGAGCTGCCACAGGAAACAGTGGAAACCCAGACCCCAGGGTCCCCCCCCACTTCAGAAGGGCCCCAGGACCCTGTGTGCAGTGTGCACACATTTCAGAGGGCCCCAGGGACCGTCCCAGGGTTGAGGGGGTGCCGCAGGGCGGAGCAGGGCAGTACCTGGGTTGGACTGCATGTTGATGTTGGCCCGTGACACGTAGTTGCCGATGGCACCCTGGCCCTGCAGGGGCACGCTCTGTGAGGTGGGTCCTGAGTGGCTGTAGCCGGGCCCCGAGCCGTGGCCGCTACCGGACATACTCATGGAGGTGGTGGGCAGCGTGCTTTGGGCCGTCTGCTGCATGGACACGTGGTTTGGACCTGCCAGGAGCACAGGGAGGACCCCAACCCCATGGAAGCCTGGCCTTGCTGCCAGACACCCAGAGTTCCTTCACGTGACCGCGGGGACAGAGACTGGCCCGTGGCCAACAGCGCCCGAATGAAGTGAGGGTCAAGTGCTGAGCAAAGAAACAAGCACGCGCTGACCGAGGAGAGGACCCGCCGGTTCGCTCTCGCAGGGACAGCTCCCAAAAGCTAGCGACGGTTCCTGCTCCAAAGAGAACCTTTTTGTTCTTGGTTAAAAAGATCCACATGGAAGCCCACACGTTGGACGGGGCCGCGATTTAACACTGTCAAAGCAGAGTAGAGGATCTGGAGTGCTGGATTCCCTTTGCACGTGACCCCCCGCGCTCGGGCGCCCAGGCACGGCAGCAGACCAGCAGCCCGGGCCTCAGGAGGAGGGAGGGCCCCCGTGAGGCTCTGCAGGGCATGGGGCACCCTACTGAGACAGCGGTCACCCAGAAGCCTGCGCGGCTTACGTGCTTCCGGGAGCCATCCCCAACCCCGAAGGGCTCAGGGCTACTCACCGTTGCCAATCTGGCCCTGCATGAGGGAGGACGGAGGCAGGCCCGTGCCAAGGGCATCGCTGAGGCTGCCCTGGGAGTGCAGGCTCTGGCTGGAGCTGCTCTGGGACAGCGCTCCGGGGCCCAGGTTCATGTTCTGGGTCGGCGGCTGAGGGAGACAGGGAGGTAACAGGGACGCGGTTAACCCGGAGAACAAGCACCTGAAGCCCTCCAGGGCTCGGGCGGCTCGTGAGGTCCACCTGTGCTTCACAGCCACCTGGCCAACGTCTAGAACCCCCTGTGGCTCTCGCATTTGATCAGCTGCGGATGACCAGGCCCCACCACCTCAGGCCAAGAGCACGACACACTAAGCATTCTCGTGGGAACATTCAGAACTTAAATCAACACATACTCAGAGACTCAAAGCTGGGCCCGCTTTCCTGGGGATATAGCGAACCACCTCGTCAGCCCACCAGACTGCACCGCCCTCACCTCACTCCACACTGCTCGGCTGGCCAGGATTCCGTGCGCCCCTCATCCACACCACCCCACGCCCCAGAGCCTTTGCACACACTGCCCTGTGCCTTAGCCTTGGCATTCCCATTGCTCCTCCTCTCTGTGTGCCCTGCCTACTGCAGGCCCAACTCTGACTGGCTTGGAGGGGGCATGGGACGGAGTGACCCCCGCGCCCTCACCTCCTGGATCCAGACCAAACCGCAGCTCCGGAGCCTCAGACGCATGAGCTACCCAGACCCGGCCAAAGACAAAGTTCCCAGCAGGACCTGCTGCTGCCTCTGGGGTGAGGAATTGCAATTTCATGGGTCAATTGTGTTGGTTTAATGATTTTTTTTTAAGATTTTATTTATTTATTTGACAGACAGAGATCACAAGTAGGCAGAGAGAGAGGAGGAAACAGGCTCCCCGCTGAGCAGAGAGCCCAATGTGGGGCTCGATCCCAAGACCCTGGGATCATGACCTGAGCCAAAGGCAGAGGCTTTAACCCACTGAGCTACCCAGGCGCCCCTGGTTTAATGATTTTATCAGTAAAACACTTCCTGGCACTTATGATGTCACTTTCCAGGGGACTTGGGGACATCGAGAGATAAGCCATTCCCGGTGACAGGGTTGTCCTGGAACCTCCCTGCGCATCACGGCCAGCACGGGCCTGGCCCTCCGAGGGTGCGCCTTCTTGTCCCCGGTGCGGGAGGCAGCCACCGCCGGACCTTGTCTTCACAGCAGTAATTTGATTTTGGGAAAATGGGTTTTAAAAAGTCAGAAAAAAACCGTTTACACGGACGTCTGCAGTGTCCCCGCACTGCGTGCCTCTGTGGTTTTGCTGGGAGGTCAGAGCTGTGTATGGTCCTGGGCCCCCCCTTCCAACAGCTCATCCCCGCACCACTTCCTGTCCTCCCGAGTCCCGCCTCCCACCACGTCTAGGTTTGGAGCCTCGGGGTCACCTCCCTTGGCTAAAGAGACAAATCACAATTCTGAACGGTCCGCTTCAGAGCCCGCTGGCTGGCCACTGGCCCCTCCCCCGCGCCTATCCGCGACTTGGTCCCTGCAGGTGACGCGCTCAGACTTCCGCTCCCCCCCAGTGGCAGCCTGAAGCTGCGCCTGAGCGTGTGGGTGAGGGCGCGCCCCCGGCCCCCGCTGCGGGCACTCACGGCGGGGAGCAGGGACTGCATGTTCTGGTTGGAGTCCGCGATTGTGGCCAGGTAGACCAGGTTCCGGTGCAAGATCTGCTGGTACCTGCAGGTCAGGGGCACGCGGTGAGGCAGAGGGGCCGGCAGGCCCATCGTAGCCAAGCCCCTGGGGGGACAGACCTCTGACACTGCCCGGGGACAGGACGGGTGAGGGAGCAAACTGTGGTTTAGGACAGGGCCAGACAGGGACCAAGGTCCTGAGCGGGATCCTGACTGATGACAACACATGGAAAGACCCCACGGTGGTGGCCAAGGAGGGGGTGTCAGCAGGTCTGTTCAGAGAATGGTGGGGGAGGGAGGCAGGAGGCACAAGACAGAGACTGAGGGAGACACAGGAAGAAATGCCAGAAAACAAGGCCTACTCCATCGGACCCTGACACCCGGCCGACTTGAAACCTTCGCACCCCTGAAAAGGTTCCCCCAAACAGGCCAGGGGGATACGGGGGGAGCCCAGCGTGGCGGTGGCTCACACATGTCACACCTGTGGGGGGCTCAGACGGCTGGCGCTCGCGCTCCTGCTCTGAATCCAGCCCTGGGGGTCACCTGGGGTCCTACCCGGAGAAGCTCACGGTCCCCTGGTGTGTCCACCAGCAGTCCCCTCTCCACCCACACTTGCGTCTCCCTCCAAACCTTCTGCCCTCCTTGGAGTGCCCTTCTCTGAGGGGGACCGCCGTGGCCCGCCGGTCACTTACTGGGCGCACTCGGCCGTCTTGCCCTTGCTCTGGTAGTCCAGAATGCACTGGATCAGATGGTGGTTCTCATCCAGCATCTGCGGGGGAAGCACACGTGAGCACGGCCACACACGCGTCTGCGGTGCCCGCTCGAGGCGGACGACAGGCTGCTTGCGGGAGGCGCTCCGTCAGGTGCACGCGTGCGGGTGTTCATAAGGGAGGCCTGGAACTCTCCCACGCCAGCCCGGCCAGCAGGACCGAACACATCCCACAGCCCGGGCCAAGCGCGGCCTCCCACGTGCCAGGGTCCACCCTCCGCAAGCCCAGGGGCAGGCTCTGGGTCTTGCGTTCGGCAGAGGAAATCCCACAGCCCACGGGACTCGCCCTCTAGGACCCTTAACTGCAGAGCGTCGGTCCGCCCGGCTAGGCTGGGCCTGGACTGCACAGGAGGGACGCAGGAGCCCTGACTTCCCGCCCGCAGGGCCCCACACCGCGGCCACACGAGCGGCGCCTCCCAGCCCCGCAGAGCATCACAAAGCCCAGTAAGCGCCAGCTTTTCGGGACTGGCCCCTGGGGGGCAGCGCCCGGGGCAGCCTGGGGACACCCAGGAGGCGGTGAGGGAAGAGGCACGGAGAGGTTCGACGGGAGCAGGGGAAGCACGGGAGGGCTGCACCGGCGGGGTGGGGGTACGACCAGGCAGCCTGCCCTGCCGGCCGGGGTCTGGTGGGCACTGGGCACGGCCGGGGCAGGGGGCGGGGGCACGCCTGGCCACACACAGAAGATCTGGCTCATCACCACCAGTGCTTGGACCCAGCTTCTGTCCTCGGGGAGGAGGGGCAGGGCTGGACCCAGGGCAAACGCTGCTTTCCACGAAAAGCTCTTTATTCAGACACCTGTGCTAAAGGAAACATCTAGACCTTTTGTCCCCAACAAACGGTGCCTGGTCACCGCGGCGCAGGTTCTCCCGGGCAGGCGCAGTTCTGTGGGCCCCTGAGCCAGAGGAGGGGCCCATCCGCTTGCCACTGGCCGGAGACACCCACCCTCCCACCCCGGGCACTGCCCTTGGACCTCGGAGTCCTGTTCTATGGAGCTTGGGGCCCAAGCCCGTCCACGGAGGGGCGACTGGGGGCAGAGGGCACTCCCCTCCCCCCCCGCAAGGCCAAGTCTGCCGGGAGGCCCCATATGAGCCACCCCCGCCCCCAGCCTCTGGGACCCAGGGCTCGGTCTCTCTTGCTCTAAGAGCTCTGTCCTCCCCGGCTGTGGAGCGCGCACCCCCAGTTCTGTGACTTCCGCAGAGGCCAAGGAGCCTGCCCAGGTGGGAGAGGCGGAGGGGCCCGGGAACGGCCCAACCAGTGGCGCCGAGGCTCTCCGTCTGGCCCCTGCCCCAGATTCCGTGCCCGCAGCAGGCAGGGGACGACCCTGCCCCAGACGCTCGAGCCGCATCGTGCCCAGGGCCCACGGCAGCGGCAGCCGTCGTCACCGTCCCCACGCTTCCCGGGGGCCCGGGGACACGCTCGGGCGAGAAGAGGAAAAAGCAAGGGGCAGAGCACGATCGCCGCGACGTCAGAAACACGCAGGACAGAAGGCCAGGCCAAGGCGCGTGAAGGGCGGCTGACTGGAGGCCCCGAGCTCCGACCCCGGGGCCCTTAGGGCGCGAGGGACAGGCCGCGGCTGCCAACACCGCTCGGCTGAGACGGCGGCGGCCGCACGTTCCGGAACTGGGGGGCGGCAGCCGGGCTCCAGCGGGGAGACAGCCGCACCCGCGCCCAGACAAGGCCCCTGCTCCCCGCAGGAAGGGCGGCTGGGGAGGCCGGAGCACGGCCCCAGGGACAACACGGACGCCGCGGACCACGCCCACGCCCGAGCGCCGCCCCGCCCCCAGCCAGGCCAGGGCCTCCGCGAGGCCTCCCGGGAAGCCGCCCGGAGCCGCCGGGGCCACGGGGCGCACCTGCGGGCCGTGCGGTGGAGAGAACCGCCGAGGGCCGGTAACGTCCCCCGCAGCGAAGGAGACGGCGTCCGCCAGTGCGAGCCCCGAGCACAGCACGGACCCCACAGAACAGGGCCCTGGGCGGTTTCTGTACTGACCGGAGCAAAAAACCGCCTGGGGGGGCACCTGGGGGGCTCGGTGGGTTAAGCCTCTGCGGTGGGCTCAGGTCACGGTCTCCTGGTCTCTGGGTGGTGGGATCGAGTCCGGCTCTCTGCTGAGCGGGGAGCCTGCTTCCCCCTCTCTCTGCCTGCCTCTCTGCCTACTTGTGACCTCTGTCTCTCAAATAAATAAAATCTTTAAAAAACCAAAAAACCGCCAGTGGAAGGGCTGGAATACAAAACTAACGAAAACTCCTAGAAAACAGATTAAAAAGACTGAAACAGAAAACAGAAAAGATGACAAAATTAGAAAATCCAAGTGGCAAGGAACTATTCTTCCCAGACTTCCGGAAAGAAAACACACGGAGAAATTTCATCCAAAAAATCGTTCAGTGTGTTTCCTCAGAACTGAAGGATATGACTTTCCAGACTAGAACTTTCTCCCAGGGACCAGTTTGCCAAAAACATCGAGGACAAAGAGAGATCCTAACAAAGAATGGACCGAGAAACCACGGCATTGAGTTCTTTCACACAAGCCAGAATTTGGTGAACTGTGGAGGAGTAATGGCCTCATCCCGAGGGGAGGTTTCCTGAGGAAACATGACCAATCTCGAGGGGGGCCTTCCTGAGGAGAAATGACCGATCCTGAGGGAAGGCTTTCTGAGGAAAGATAACAAATCCTGAGCTAGACTTCCCAAGAAGAAATTACCTGTCCTGAGGTGTGTTGTGTGTGTGTGTGTGGGGGGGGGAGTCTTCCTGAAGAGAGATGATCCTGAGTGAGACTTTCTGAGAAGGGATGACTCAACCTCAAGGGGAGGCTTCCTGAGGAGACATGACTGATCCTAAGCAAGACCTTCTAAGGAGGGATGACCCAATCTTGAGGGGAGCCTTTCTGAGGAGAGATGACCGATGGATCACGAGCAGGACTTCCTGAGGAGGGATGACCCAATCCGGAGGGGAGGCTTCCTGAGGAGAGATAACCAATCCCGAGCAAGACTTCCTGAGGAGAAATTACCTATCCTGAGGGGTGTGTGTGTGTGTGTGTGTGTGTGGATCGTCCTGATCCATCCTGAGTTGAGACTTTCTGAGAAGGGATGACCTGATCTCAAGAGAAGGCTTCCTGAGGAGATAGCCAATCCTGAGCAAGACTTCCTGAGGAGAAATGACTGATCCTGAGGGGAGGCTTCCTGAGGCGACATGACTGATCCTGTGCAAGACTTTCTCAGGAGGGATGATCTGACCCTGAGGGGAGGCTCCTGAAGAGAAATGACTGACCCTGAGGGGAAGCTTCCTGAGAAGTCATGACCAATCCGGAGCAGGGCTTTGAGGAGGGATGACCTGATCCTGAGGGAAGGCTTCCTGAGGAGAGATAACCAAACCTGAGCAAGACTTCCTGAGGAGAAATTACCTATCCTAAGATGTGTGTGTGGGGGCCTGTCTTCCTGAAGAAAGATGACAAATCCTGAGCGAGACTTTGTGAGGAGAGATGACCCGATCTCAAGGGGAGGCTTCCTGAGTTGATGGCCAATCCTGAGCAAGACTTTCTGGGAGAAATTACCTATCCTGAGGTATGTATCTGGGAGGTGTCTTCCTGAAGGGAGATGACCCATCCTGAGCGAGACTTTCTGAGAAGGGATGACCCGATCTCAAGAGAAGGCTTCCTGAGGAGATAGCCAATCCCGAGCAAGACTTCCTGAGGAGAAATGAACTGATCCTGAGGGGAGACTTCCTGATAAGACACGACCAATCCTGAGCAGGACTTTCTGAGGTGAGATGACCCAAGAGGTTTGCAATACCATCTGGAGGGGCCGGTGGTGAGGTCAACAGTAAGTTATGGTTGGTGAGTGGCGGTGAGATCCTTGTCTTAGTGTCTCTCTCCCATCTCTGCCCCTCTGATCTTCCCACCCAAAGCCATCAGGCTGAGACAGCCTCTGCTCTTTTGTGGACATACGCGTCCCTCACCGTGTGTACAGGTGGAGCAGTTTCTTCCTTCTGGCTATGCTGGTCCTTTTCTACTCTGATGTTTTGTTGGAGATTATTCCGTATCGGCCAATAAGATACAATCCCACGTGGGATTCACTCAGCCTCACACCTTCTGCTGCTACACAAAAGGGCCACAGCGCTCGCCGCCCACAACATGCGGTGGATGGACACTCTAGGGAAGCTCCTAGGAGCAGCCTGCGGTGTGAGAGGGAGCGGCCCTGGCTGAGCGGACGGACGGCTGCGTGAGCATCACAGGCGGTGGCGAATCGGCACTTGGCACTTCCGCCGCCTCTGCCAACTCCGGTCTCAGGGCAGCCGCGCCACTCCTGGGTCAGGGCCCCTCTCCACCTGCAGCCACCGGGGAGCGCACGAGAGCAAGTGGTGCCAGACTCCACTGGGGAAAGCCAGTGGGACCCAGCAACGGATGCGACCTGACGTGAATCAGGGGTGTGGGTTTAAAAAAAAACCCAAGCGCACATGCCAGGCGCTCTCGAGAGGAGCTGGCCCTGCCCTGTGGCTCTGGCTCTGTGTTCGACCCCCGCGGCCCATTTCCAAAAACTAAGGACACAGCAAAACGCACCTAATGTGATCGCGACAGCAAACACACTTTTGTCTTCCTGAGGGCACGCGGGAGTCGCCTCCCGTCTTCGGGTCTGCGAGCGCGCACGGATGCCGGTCACGGGCAGCAAGACCGCTCGGCGTCGTGAGAGCCTCCGTGTGCAGGGAAGAGGCGCGTGTTCTCTCAAAGGCGCCACGTTCGCGCGCGTCTTGCCCAGGGAGCAGCGGCCCCGTGTTCTTCTCCATACGACCCTGGACTTGCCACCGTGACTTACCGTGAAGGGCCGCTCACACCGTGTTCAGATGCCACGGATAAATTCCGGTCAAGTGAGGCTGCCCAGCGCCTTCCTGTGCCCGTCGCCTGGCTTAGCCAGAAGCACAGCCTGTGAGGAGCTCACGGCGTCACCCACGTTAAAGCCGAGGAAATGAGGCGCAGAAAGGCCAAGTCTGAAGAAGATCGGAGTCCAGGAAGCTCCCCTGCAGCTCCGTGGGCTCCCATC